CGGGATGCGGATGGGAGCGCGGTAGGTGCGCTGGAAACGCACCGGCTGCCTCCGCTGCGCGCAGTCACCTAGAAACCCTCCCGCATCCCGGCGGAGAGCGTGGGTGGCTTCTCAAGTGACGGAGAGGGCTGGAAGAGGTAGGAGGAAAAGCGACCGAAACGTTAGGAATAACTTGGAGGAGGGTGAAATTGGGCTTCTTTGCTGCTGCCGTTGGTTCCCGCCTGGAGAAGTAGCAGCAGGAGGTGCTGGAGGAGGATTCAGAGCAGACGCTGGGGAGCCCCAGAGCTGGACTCGGGCTGCCGGAGCCGTGCGGCTGCGCGTGCCGCTGGGAGGTGGTGGAGCACAGTTAGAGCACAGTTGTTCCCGGCTGTGTAATCACGGGGAAACCTGCAAGTGACTACAGCCGGTTATTTGCTCTCTGCGTTCGGTTCATAATGTTTGCAAAGGAGTTGGAAAGTGTCTTCGGGAAAGCGGCGGCCACCCTCGCTCTGCGAGGGGAGGCTCGTTGGAGGAGTGTAGGTCTGTGGCCATCACAACTTTGCCGGCTTATCTGCAGTGAAGGGCCACAGCTTGTAAATCACTGAAGGCCAGGAAATACAACTACTGCTCGTTATCAGGCTCCTCTTTTCCCCAGGCTTTGTGCCCAGTCTTGTTGAGAAGCCGTCCTTCAGCGTCAGCGATAGGCACGAGGGCAGACGCGTGGCAGGTGCTCTGCTTGCTGGGCACCGGCGTTAGCCGTGCGCTCGTTTGTCTTCGAAATCGCTATCAGTGGCTCTGCTGATGGATGGTTATTTCCCAGGAATTTCCTAAATGCCTTATTCGATCCTAGCACTAAGTGCCTTTGAGAGAAAATACAGTCGGTTGTGTCTGGAGGGTTTTTATGTGGCACAGAAGGGTAGTTATCAGGTAAATTGAACTTAGCTCTGGACACTGAGGTATGACCTTATACATACTGATAATGACTCCTAGATATTGAAGCGTCTACAAAACAAACCTTTTACTGTTTTTTTTGTTTTGTTTTGTTTTCTCATTCATGTGTACGTTAATGCACTTTCTTTTATACAGAGATATAATCAAACATATTAATTCTGGGGTTTATATCTTGTTTTGCTCTGACCAGTGTTTTGGAGCCTAGTCAAAATCTGTGTATATTAAGAGAATTTTGAATGAATGCTGCTTCTTTTGGATGTAGTACACTACCGTAAGGCTCTTTATTAAATAAACTACTGTGAGTATTTACTGGCCTGTATAAAAAGCTTTGCCCTCCTTTGAGAATTGAAATTCTTTTTTTTTTTTCCTTGAGATATTCAATCCTAGAAAGGTATTCTTTCTGCACACTTCACACAGTAGTCACAAATACCTCTGCTAGAGAGACTTCCTGTTTGCTGGACTTTGTACTGTGCCGTTATCAAAAAACACTTTTTTTTTTTTTTCTTTTTTTTTCCCTCTCCTCCTTTTACGCAAGACAGGAGTGGAGTAAAAAAGACAGCCGAGCACAGAAGTAAACAAGAAAAATCACACAGTCCAGAGTTAGCTTTTTTTAAATTATTTTTACTTGGGAAATATATTTTTGTTTTCATGCTTAGGTGAGTAAGCCCTACATATGAACAACCGTTTTTATGAACTGGGACATGCTTTTAGAGGCAGTGATGTTTCCAGAGTTGCAAAGAGGTGTCCAACATCTTACATCTTCCTTTACTTCAGGAATTTGTTAATTGAAAAAAAAAAAAACCCAAGAAACACTGATTTCTTCCATAGAGTTTTTTTTTTTTTTTTTTTTTAATATGTGGACTCCTGACTTTTAAGACTGGTGGTACCCAGCAGAGAAGAGGAAAAGTGTATCCACTTCCTCCACAAGGTTTGCCTGGGGAATTATTTTCATACAAAACTGAATAGAGCTGTAAACAGTTTGGGAACATTTCTAAGTCACATCAGTGGGGGAATTATGCTAATATGAAACAGCTTTGTGGTGTAGTTGGTATCATGCCTGTTAAGGTATCTGTGACTTGCATGTAATGCGAACTCAGTAAATTGCTTTTTGTTTAGATCTCTGTATCTATGGAGTAATTTAATGCTACTGAGGTTTGGAGCAGAAAGAACTGACGATGACTGTGATTTCTAATCACTGACCAGTGAAAGGAACATTATTAAATAGAGACACACTTAAAACCTTATTGTTATTATTATTATTTGAGAGGGATAAATTCAAGTCAAGTTTTCATCACGTTGTTTTTCTTAGATTACAGTGTTTAGGTTGAGAAAGTCTTGTGAGCCAGCTTGAAAATATTGATTAAAAGGGCTAGTTGTTTTCTATAGGTGTAAAAAGATGCACAGTATTTTAGCTGCCTTAGTATTAGAGAGTACATCAGGATGGATAGCATAATTTCAAAAGTTAATTGGAATGTTTTGTTGCTTGCTTTCCAGACTTACCCACAGGTTGGGAGGAAGCTTATACTTTTGAAGGAGCAAGATATTATGTAAAGTAAGTTAAGTTTTTTATCTGTTGCAATACTGTAATTTTAACTTTGTTGGAATGGTGCTGTAATCTTGAATATATTCCAAACTAAATGTGAATGTTGTACTATAAATCCAAAAGGAGTATGCAAGCTTTGTTTAATAAATTCTGCACTGCTGAAACAATTTCTTAAGTTTTGATGTAAATACCTTAATTAAAAATACTTAAGGATTCAGAGTTCAGTCAAAGGAAACTTCTGCAGTGAGTGTAACCATCTATCGAAACTGCCTCTGCAAGTCAAGAAATATCTTGAGATTGTCTGTGTGTTTATATGACACTTGTTTATACAGTGCCATACTCTAAATGCTTTCAGAAAGGCAAGATCTTATTTTGTTACTAGGAAAAGAGTCCTAATTCAGCCGTATTCTCTAGTAATTATGTTTTATTTGATTAAAGCCAAAGAGAAGGTTTAATGTGGTTGTTAGTTTGCAGACTTCCTGTGTCAGTGTCTAGTATCGTTTTTTTGTGTGTGTGCGTGTATATATTTAATCTAGGTTTGTATTGTGTGTTGAGGAGTGTATCTGCTTTGGCAGGTTCTCTGTTTTTTTTTTTTTTTGAATTAGATGCATATCAATAGAGCTCTTTTCTAGAAGGTGAGAGACCATGTTAGAGCTATACAAACTTCTTAAAAGTTGTTCATCTTGAAATGATCAGACTGCCCTTATCTGGAAAAAATTCAAGTGGTGCCTAGGTACTTGTTTAGTTGTTTATGCTTTTGCTTATTTAAGGACCTTTAACAAAATTACAGACCTTTTTTTGTTTTCCAAAAGCATTCAGCAACTTTTCCTTACTACACGGTGTGCTTGGTTTGCCATCTTTGAGTTAGTAGTGCCACCAGCGCGGGAGCTTCAGTGAGTGCAGGAGTAATAGAGCTTGTAGGCTGCTCGTAGGCATCCTTGTGTGTACGTCTTACCAACAGTCTTGGGCAAAAGGTGGCTAATCTGTTGAAGTTGTTGTGAGATGGGTATTATAGAAGTGTTTGCGTGGTGTGTTTTGCATAGCTTGGCAGATCTTCTCATACAGATATGATAGTGTTTGATCATAATTGTAAACAAACTTTAAGAAATAAGAACTAGAGGATAATGCTCTAAAAACGCAATCAGAACTGGTGCCTTGCTGTCTAGAAAGGGCATTCTTGTTAAGAGACCCTGGTTTTGCAGATGCACACTGCCTTCTTTTAGCTTTGGTCATACAGTGCCGCTGTGACATGCCGTGAAAATTATACCGGTCTGTAGATGGGAACTACTAGGGATTTTGTCCCCACCTTTCTGTTCAGAAAGTTAAATACAGAAGAGGGAAAATTAAAAATATTTTTCTGTATATATAATACATGAGGGTGGGAGGAAAATCACTTGTATCATTGTGGATCAATCCAGTTATTGTAGAGTAAAACTACGAGTGATGTGTTGGCCGTAGTAACGGGAAAGCAGCAACTTCGATTTTCACTGAGGAATAAAAACCTATGTGTGGACAGCTCTTGTAGAGTGACAGAGGTGCTGAAAGCTTGTGCACGTTTTTGCCGAGTGGCAGCTCGTTTGTGTACTCTCATCCTCGTAAAATCTGGCATTCAAGATGCTGTCATAACTGTCAGGACATACATCTAGCCGATAGTTTTGCTGATAGTCAACACTAAGTAGCTCTGTTTATATTAAAAAGCGGTGCTGCATCTCTGAGAGCGTGTTGCACAAACAACGCTCCCCTGTGATTCGCCAGGCGTAGGAGGTCGGGAGGGAGGGTAATGTCAAGTCTACTGAAGGGTTCACGTGGTGTGACCCGTTTGGCATCCTTAGTTAAATACGTGTTTGCTCCACAAATGCAGCCTCTCAGGCAGAGTTTGAACTTCTTCCCAATGAAGAAGCTTCTCCTTTTAAAGTGCCTACTAGTCAGCCCCAGCAGCACTAAGGGAGATGTGAGAGGGAGCGTAGACAGGGTGACAACACTGTAATTGGTATCTTCTGATGTTACGCAGTGTAACTCTAGGTGGTATTTTGGCTCTAATAATTGTAGTTGTCTGAGTCTAAACTAACTCTGTGTTCCCACATGGATGGGAAACAGCATGAGTTGTTGTGACTGGGTGACATGCAGATTTTTACCTGCAACCTGCCCACTTCAAGAATCTGACACTTTAAAATGAACTAAATACTAGTATTTGTTTTATTATCATGACTAGAGCACAGCAAAACTATGTTAAAACTAAAAGTGTTGAAAACTTGTTTGTGGTTTTGTCTCAAAGAAATAACTTATACTAGAGCATAAAGCAACTTATAAAAAACGAGGGAATGGATGTTAATGAAAGTCTATTGATGTGTTTAGCTATGCGAATACTTGGCCGTAGAATTTCCGTAATGTGCCCAGAAAGAGTTATACAAGAAGGATAGTCAGGTTTCCTGATCACATAAATAATTTCACCTAACTTCTGAGGTGCATCTTCAAATATGTGGGTTGAATAAAATTATTTAACACCCTTGCTTTATGGTAAGATCTTGTGCTAAAGTGTATTTGAAAATAAAAAACCTTTTGAAAATGATTTTTATGGTTCTTTAATGATAGGGCTGTGCTGTTCCAAGTGGGTGCGTCGCCGAATCTATTACTGTGTTTTTTCTGGCTTTGATGTAGTAAACACTGTATAATCACATTGGGGTAATGTCGAGAAGATAATCGCCGTCTAAATCTAACATGCCTCCAATTGGCATTTCAAACAAATGAGTCGGGATACAGACTGCACTGAAATGTGATTATTTTTAAAGGACTCATATTTGCTGGGATGTGGATTTTTGCTTTCAGAATAAGTAAATAACAAATGGTGGTGATTTGTTTTACACATGTTTTTTTCATGATAGTGAGTTTGTTCTGCCTTTAACAAGGAAATGTATTCTAAAGCAGCAGCAGGTGAAGAGTTATGATTCCATTGCATAACGAAGTTTTATTTTTGCATAAAGATGCATTAGTAAGTTGGTGGTGGTTAGGACTTTGGCCTTTCTCACATTTTTTTCCCTCTTTTTGATTTGTTAGATGAGTGATAGTACTTGGTAATGACTGCAAATCAAGAGGTTTCCCCCCCACACCCAGAAACACAAAGGACAAAATGTGGGTCGTTGTTGCACTTCTGTTTTATTTTTCTTCTTAACCAACAGTTTCTCAACCATTGAATGTTAAGTATAGATTTATTTGAGTTACTAGCCAGTTATTTGTAAAAATAATATAACAGAATGCCTTAATATTTTGCATATGTTTTCATGAGAACTGGTCGCATATTTAAACTTCTTTGTCCCCATGAGAGGGAGAAAATCTGTTTACGTATCCTTAACATTAGAATTGGGCATAGATAGTTCTGCCCCATTCCTCAGTGGGAATGCTGTCATTAAATTTTCATATTCCTTTTATATTCATTTAACGACTAAACTTTTATCTTGAATACAGAATTTCTTCAATGTAGAGCAGTATGATTGTAGAATTAACAAGCTCAAATATGAGTTCTGATAATTATTTCCTTGAGCTTCTTTGTCACTTGAATCTTGTGTTATATTGAGTAAAATAAGGTATGGGGAGAGTCATTTTGAAAATGATACCATTTCATGCTGAGAAATCAGAGATTTTCCTTTGAAGTGCCTAGAACATTTCTTATTGGGCTGCTTGTTCATGCGCAGCCCGTTGGGTACTTGTCGTCAGCTCTGAAAAGGGTTTTATACCAAGCAGATTTGATCAGAGTAGTAGTATGGGGGGGAAGTGTATAAGTTACTTGTAGGTGCCTAAGAAAATGGACCAAGAGACTGAGGGAGCTGGGCCAGTTCAGCCTGGAGGAGAGAAGGCTGAAAGGGGATCTAATCAGTGTCTGTAAGTACCTCAAGGGAGGGAGTGAGGAGGATGGTGCTGGCCTCTTTTCAGTAGTGGCCACTGACAGAACTAGAGGAAATGGCCACAAACTGAAGCACCAAAAGTTCCACAGGAACTTAAGGAAAAATTTCTTAACAGTGAGGGTGACAGAGCACTGGAACAAGCTGCCCAGAGAGGTTGTGGAGTCTCCTTCTCTGGAGATCTTCAAAACCCGCTTGGACGCAGTCCTGTACCACGTGCTCTAGGTGACCCTGCGTGTGCAGGGGGGTTGGACTAGATGATCTCTAGAGGTCCCTTCCAACCCTAAGCATTCTATGATTCTGTGTGTTGCGATACTTATTAATAGGGAAGGTGTGAGTGTGGTGGTGAATTTTGGAGCTCTTGCCTATGAAGCTTAGATTTGATGCTTCTGGTTCCTTATGGTCTAATCATTAGCACTCAAAAAAAAACCCGGTATGTGTGATGTCTATAAAATTAACATAAATGTGTCGTTATCTGTATGTGCACATGTGCATGTGCATCTTTATATATGTTTAAAAAAGAAAAGCTTGCTGTTAGTTAGAGCTACCAGATTATCTAAACTCAGGTATTCGCTTGCCTTGCTCTGCCCTGCCTGATGTGCTGAATCTATTAGGATTTTTAGCATGTTTGTATTGATTTTTTTTTCTTAGACCAGGTTCATATTAACTAACTGATATGGTTTACTAAAGTTAAAAGTCAATGCAAGGATTCTAGTCTAGGAATTTTGCACCAGTATCAGTTGGCTTAATTTCTTAACTGTGTTGTAGTGCCGTCGTTTTTCAAATAGTACAAAAGCTGATTAAGTTTGCAAGGAAAATGCCCTGAAGAAATTATAAGAATTAAGAAGGTCAAAGCTGCGTTTTAAGGTTTTGGGCTGAAGCTGAAATCCTGCAGCATCTATCTGAGCAATGTTTGCCCCTGGCTGGCTGAAGAGGACGCTGGCAGACTTGAGCCAGAGCTGAAGCGACTTCCCTGTTACATTGACTCTCCAGTCAGTTCTGCATGCTTTCATGAAGGCTTTTTATCAAATACAGGTGTGCCTACTGTAGCTGGAACTTTGAAAGGAAAGAGAAATTTATTAGGCTGTTAAATGAGATAGTCTCATTCAGCCT